ACCTGTGAAACGCACTTTAGCGTACAACAGATTACTCTCTTTTATGCACCTCTTTCTATATGACGTCACTAATGATATATCTTTCCATTCTTTGTTACATTATGACCCAGGTCTTGTAAAATGTTTGGCCGCCATGCACGATGGGTCCAGAGTTGTCTCGGCGGGTGCTGACGGGACGGTTAGGATTCGCGACCTTTCAAGTATGTTAAGTATCTAAACTATGTAGAATCATCATTGAAAACATCTTCTTTTGGAGTTGATTTTATTGAGGCGCTGTTCCCACAAGTCCAGAGATTTTGCATCCTCAAATGTTTTTATTCAGATATAGCTAGCGTCAAAGTATGTGTTCACCGTACACGCCTGCTTTGTCTCTCGGGTATATACACTTTCCAGAGTGGATATTTAAGCAATAATAAAACAACACACTTTCGTGCGAAATATACCACGTAGGATGTTGGGAGAACACGAAAAGGGCGTAAAAAATGTCGAGGCGGAGGCGAGAGATTTTCAGACTTTTCATACTTAGCGGTAAAACAATTGAATGTTTTGGTGTGACGTAATTATGCGATAGGGCAATACCTCTTTAACGCGATACTTGTATTTGGATGATGCAATGTTTTCTCGTTCATTTTTTAAGTTTCAGCGAAGTCTAAAACCGTCCAGCTTGATGGCGATGACAAGGAGAGAGTGCTTCGTGGCCACAGYAATGCTGTTACTTGTGTTGTTGTCTTGAAAGATCGCCGTCACATTCTCACAGGTTAGAAGTAAATGTTGTATAAATGATCTTTTCCAATAATGACTTAATGCTTTGACGAAATGCATCATGGTATTGATAAGTTTCAACATGGCGGACATTAAAATTGAAATAAGACGAATTTTCTTTACAAAATTAACTTGCTGTCAGTCGAGCTAAAAGTTTTTGGCAAAACAAAAGATCTTGATAAAGATTCCTCGATCAATTTTCAAAAGGATACAGCAAATTCCATTTAGGTTGTTCAGTTGTAAAGACGTAAAGATAATAACGAATTTATTTTCAGATATCATATCTTTAATTTCTTTGTAAAAACAATCAACATAAAGCTCCAAAGCTTCTTGACAATAATCTTGCGAAGTACATATTCAGTCCTGATGATGCTGTAGAACAGGGAAAGCTTGACCAATAATAATTAAACTTGAACCATCATACAGCAGTATTCGGCCGCAATCGCTTACTATTATATCTTCTTTACAATGTCATTAACATTTGCTACTTCAGGGCCGTAAGTTGCCTTAAAAATGCAGAGGTTCGTTTTTTCATAATGCGGACCTACCTTAAATGTTTAACTAAATTAGTTCAATGCACAGGTACATGTATAGTGTGTAAGAACTGGCTGCTAGAATGAGCAGTTCATAACAAAAGAATTTTAAGACACAACATTAAAAAAAAGAGAAACACCGGACCATTTAAGCTTGTGGAGGGTTCGCCCGAACCACTGGAAAAAATCGCGCCCTTTAAAGGTTGTAAATTTGATGTAAATATAATGTAAGTGTCCAAAATTCTGTAAATTTGATGTAAATGATTGCCATTAAATTTACAGAATTTTGGACACTTACATCATATTTACATCAATGCAAATTTACAACCTTTAAAGAGCGCGATTTTTTCCAGTGAACCCTCTAGCCCCTCTTATGGGCCTGAACTTTATCAAAAGTTTATTCTTTCGTTATGCAGGTTCTAAAGACTCTACCATTAAACTTTGGGATATGAATAGCAGTCTGTGTGAAGCGACATACACTGGGCACARCAAAGATGTCGCATGTTTGGTAGCTACCGCTGATAGCAACACATTTGTCTCAGGCTCAACGGATTTCACTATTAGAATCTGGTCAACTAATCATAGCGAAGAAACCCACATCATTTCCGAATATAACGACTCAATCACCGACATCGTCATGACAACGGATGACCGCTGCTTTATTGCAGGCTCACATGAAAGTAAGCTTCAACTACGCATGTGGGATATCAAAACAGGCGCATGTGCAAGGGTGTTCCATGGACATACCCATGCTATTATGMGACTGAAAGTTGCGCATGCTCATAACATGCTGTTGTCAAGTTCACGCGACGGAACGGTAAAAGCCTGGGACATAGCATCTGGGAATTTGCTGAATTCGTTTGACTTTCAATCGCAAGTCAAACATTTTGACTTTGCTCCTGTGGGGGAGGGGGACAGCAACTATTCTTTCATCGCGGTTACCAAGTCCGGTACTGTTGGAATCATGAAGTTTTGGAATCCCCACCAGCGCGCAGTCGCTGTTCATCTTCCCGAGAATGTTTCAGAAGCGAAGAAAGAAGTTAAACCAAAAGAAGAAAACAGCAGAGAAAGAGAGAAAGAAGAGGAAAGAAAGGAAGAAAACAAAGTCAAACGCTTCAAGGAGGTGGGAGGTCCCGTCCCAACTAGCATCACTTTCAGKGGGAATTCGGGGTGCTGTTCGCGGTGTTCCTGCTGTAACTGCCATAGATGTACAGTTTTGTAAATTGACGCAAATTGACGCATAAAATCGCACTCAAATACACTTTCAGTTAATAAAATTTGTATGGACTGTATGAGTTCACTCATAAACATTTGTCAGTTAAACCTTAGACGCTCTTAAAGAGCGCTATTACTGGTACCAATTAAATTTTTGGGCCTTTTATTTTTTTTAAATGCTAATAAGATCAGAACACTCAAACATGTTATGGTCAAAAACTACTTCTAGATTTGAAGAAATGAATTTTATAATAAAATTAAACAAYTTTTGCAAAGCTCACTTCTGATCAAGTTTTGAGTCTGAATGGAAAATTGTGGGGTTCCTGTTTAATCGGAAGAAGAGTTGGACTTGGTCTGTTTATGCAAAATCCCCTAGCCCTCCCCACTTCCCATCAAAATTGTACAACCTTCCGCTTTCCGAAAGGAAAGGGAACTCTAGACGATTTACTACGAAAACATCTATTTTTGTAGTAWTCGGGGTATGTCCCTTCAAAACACTCAACTAAAATGCTATTTTCAAGAAGTCTGACTTCCTTTGTCGACATWATTTGAGTCAACCGCCATCAGAATGGTCGTTGGTGACACGAATGGTACCTTTTCTGTTGAAAATGAAGTTGTGTTGGTTGTCGAAGGGACTGCGAATCTGCTTCTTGACTTTGAAATTCTACGAAAAGAGTACCTGGACCCTATAATAGAGTGAGTAAATACTAMGATKAAGGTTACTTATGTTTTAATTTGTAAGGGCGACTCGTRGGCTGYAAYGGTTTTTACGAAAGGTTTCTGTGAAGTTCGGAGGTTCGATCGTGGCGCCAACTTTTTGGTGAATTTGTGTGCCTTTTCGACCGTACAGTTTGTATTAAATAGGATWTTTCTGACACATAAGCTTTTATCTATTGATACATAGTTTAATCWAAGTATAGCTTGTATATAATGACGAATTATAAGTTATTGAATTTGGACATGATCGATCGAGTCTAGACTTGGTCATATTGAAAATTCACTCGCTGATCGGTCGGCCTTGAAATGTCGACTGATAAACATTTCCGTATCGAGATATATTCGTATTATTTTCGTTATGTATTTGATATTTTGTGTTTGATTTAATCGGCCCTAGAACTTGAAATTAAAGTCGTTAAATTTCTAGTTTACTATAAAACCTTAGCTAACTGTTATTAAAATTATTGTAAGGTTCACTTATTTCACAATCTTGAAGAAACGACTGTTGTTTTTTTTTTATATTGTCAAAGAATTAAGTTGATGCACATTAGTATCGTTGAAAATGATAAGAATAATTTCCGTTTAAGATAAATGATATACAAAATGATTTTATTGAAGTCGATATCGCCAATTGTTGTTTAGGTAATTTTAGTTTTCTATTGTTTCCGAAAAGAATAGTCAAAATTATTAATTGCATTTTACAGTGATACCAATTTATATAAATTATTAGAATGATTAATTCAATTTTTAGATAACATTAAGTTATATTATCACTATCGCCCTTTTTTGATAAAAGCAATCAATAATATTTTAGAAAAAAACTGTATTTCTAATATGAGACAGTTGTGTAAAAAGATAAATTTAACACCATAAAAAGTAAGTTCTTACTGACGTTTCAGACGTTAATCTTATGAGATCTTGTAAACATGAAGTGGAACGTCAACACACACAAAAAGACAAAACAAAAYAAACGACAACAACAAAAACTCCAGAAAACACCAAACAATCAACAAACAAAAACAAAACTAGTCCTAAAATGTTCGACTGCTAATCATGTCTTGATTTTTTAGTTTATTTTCTAAAAACTAAATTCAGTGTCATGTGATCAAGAAAATTCTTGTGTGCCTTTTGACCCTTCATGTAATTCAGTATCATTACTGAAAAATCATTAGTACACCATGATAGTGATTAAACTCTAAAAAAAGGTTGTAAGTTGGATTCATATTCATATTTGTAGCAAATAGCTTTAGAGATAGAGCAAAYGCAGGAAAACCATGAAATAAAATCAAACTAAATACTAATAAATCACGGCTATATTTAGAGACAATTTGTCAGTATCAATGAACCAGAACACAATCTAATCATGAATCCACATGGGACCATTTTTCATTCATGTTTATTGCATTCTGGTTCATTGATACTGACAAATTGTCTCTAAATAGCCTCTATTTGTTAGTATTTAGTTTGATTTTATTTCTTGGTTTTCCTGCATTTGCTCTATACAGTTTTAAATACAGTATCAAGTATTGTTGTGTTGTGTGCATGTACACATAAATGTGATGATCCTTGAGAACCCTGGCATACTCTTCTTTCTCTCATGAATTCTTTGCTCCCAGAAATAATTCTCAGGGTTCAATGTCTGTTAGACCTTGTTCTGTCWCCCTCGACAGGCCATGACATGCATTTGATTGTTTCAGGTACATAAATGGAGGGCCTTTACAAGACAGTTCATGTTTCTTTGGAAATGAGGTATTTGYTGTTCTGTGTCATCTATAGACGCCTTTCATGTTACGTCATAGAAGCTTCATCTGGAGGACAAAACAAAAGATTTTTGCCCTCTTGGGAACTAGAATCTATTCATTTGTCCTCCAGTTGGAATTGCATTCCCACAAACTGCAAGGGGTCTATAAATGTGTTGTATTTAAGTACATTGGAAAACCACATTTTTACTAAAAGAAAATATATTGTAGATCTGAAACTCTTATTCGTGAGTCTGGTATAATTACTATTTTGTTGTGTTACTGGGCTGTCTGACTCACATATTTCTGTTTCTTCTCGACGTTTCGACGCCATTCTGGTCGTCATTCTCAGGATTTTGATTGAATCTTGGTTATTATTGATTTTTGGAAGCCACTAATAACCAAGATTCAATCAAAATCCTGAGGATGACGACCAGAATGGYGTCGAAACGTCGAGAAGAAACAGAAATATGTGAGTCAGACAGCCCAATAACACAACAAAATAGAAAATATATTATAATAAAAAAATAATAATAATTATAATACATACGTAATAAACAATTTAACAGTAACAATAGAAAGTAACAGTAACAATAAAAATAGTAATAATAATAATAATAAATGAATAAAAACTATAAGAAAAAAACAAAGAAACAAATCAAGATGGCAACCTCATTTTTCCTTTTCAATCAAAATAATAAAATATAAGTTTTAAAGCCATTTTGAGGTCTTGACAAAAGAAATTTCTTTGAAAATAATATTTGTAATGCCTGTACTTGTTCCAGTATGGTCCCAATCAATATTGCCTGGTTTTGTTTGGCACCAAGAGTAATGAAGATGCTGTACAACTTGTTCAGTACACAAGAAATGTAGATGAATTGGTGAAGGCTATCGATAACATAAGGTTAGTCCTCAGGCAGCCCACCCTTTTAATGTCCACCCTTTTTGTTCAGCTTTTTATACCAAAAGTCCCAGGGTCCGTGCAGGTCCTTAAATCCTTGARAAGTGCTTGAATTGAAAACTCGTTTTCAAGGGCACTTGAAACTCCTTGAAAATTTGAAAATTTCGAAAAAGTCCTTGAAAACTCCTTGAAAAAGATAGATCTCTCTCACGAAGCGCTAGCGATCTCTGAATTATTCCGTTAGGTTGAAGTTGTGAGATAAGAATGTACAATTAGCATGATTATAATGTTCCTTGGATATGCAATTTTGGTCCTTGAAAAGTCCTTAAATTTCGTTTTTGATACTCTGCACGGACCCTGATATCCTAACCCCTGATCTCAACATTATGCTGTTCCCTCTGTGTCACACTCCCACTTCCAAGACTGTATATGTACATGTACTTGTCTTTTCAGATTCACTGGTGGAGGTGCCCAGGAAGGGAGTCTTTTGGCTGAGGGATTGGGTTTTGCTTTACAGGTAGGCATTATACAACCTGTTTTGTATGTACCTTAAAGGGMCATGGTCCACTAGCATGCAATGCGGTCGTGTTTTAGATTTTTCATATATGGAAAATGAGGTGACTTCGAATATCCATTTTTGTAATCCGGTTTCATCCATCGGTTTACCGGTCGAATCTTAAAGCATCTCCATTCATATAGGATAAAGGAAAAATAAAGAGTAAGTCTTTGCTTATATTACGATGTATTTCTATTTTCAAACATAAACAAAAGCTCGAAAGGGATAATGGTGGACCATGTCCCTTTAATTTGTAATACGATTTTTTATTTTTTTTTTAATATTAGTACAAAATTTCTTATTTTTTTATGTCTTTATGTAGTAAGATGTTCAGCTTTATTACTTCTTATATTAGGTCATCTTTTTTGCCTTATAACACTCAATTCAATTATTTAATATCTTTCAGGCTTTTGATGACATGAAGCTGCGAAGGCAGAGGTATAAAAATAACTTGAATGTTCAAAGTTTACTAAAAGTATTGTTATTTAAGAAATATAAAACGGCCGCTTGTGTCTCTGTCCTCTGATATAAACACGGTGGGAGTTGAAAAACACTCGAGAAGCAAGATAAAATTTTTCGAGCGAAAAGAAAATTTTGCCGGTAAGCTGTGTCTCTGTCCTCTGATATAAACACGGTCGTCAGGCAATCAGAGCGCGCATTATATATCAAAAATTTTATAAGTAGAGTATAAAGAACGAAAGAGTGTGTTTCATCGGGTGATAAAGATCTGAGCCGAAGGCGGGATATAAAGGCCTGACCCAATAGTTTGATGCTCATTGGACTAATAGCTCATGGATTATTAATGAGTTCTAGAATTAATGATATTATTTTAATTATATCTTATGTAGTGCTAATGTACAAAGAAACTGCATTGTGGTTAGCAATTCTCCACCTTATCCTCAACTTACWAGAGAATGCTTAAGCTATCAAAACAAGACAGTGGAACAGTTGGCAGAAATGCTTGCCAAGGTACATGTAGTGAGAAATCATTCTACCAGTACTGTAGTAATACACATGTAAAATTATGATTATTAGCATAGTCAAACTATGTGCTATATAGCATTACAAATCAAGCATTCTGATTGGCTACTGAACTATGGTATATTCATGTTATAGTTGTGTAAAAAGATAAATTTAACACCGTGAAAAAGTAGGTGAAATAACTTGACGTTTCGGACGTTAATCCTTCGTCGGAGTAAAGACGAAGGATTAACGTCCGAAGCGTGTGTTAAATTTATCTGTGTTAAATTTATCTTTTTGCACAACTGTTTCTTTAGAAACACTGACGCAGCTCACACTAGTTTACCACTAGTTCCCACTATTCATGTTATACCATGTTTGCATCTAGTGGAGCAAAATAGTTAAAAAATGTAGAAAAATTAAAAAAAAATTGTTCTTTATGGTCTTTTTTTTCATGAACTTGGGAATATTACCTTGACTTTAGAGCTTGTTGTCTAATAATATATTGTTCCATTCAAACCATATTGGTTTTGCTCATTTGTTAGCTATTTTTAATTAGGTTTATACACACTAACTTAGTACTGTACACAAAAATTTTTCTCAGGATAACATCAACTTATCGATCATTTCACCACGTAAGCTTCCAGGATTACAAAAAGTTTTTGACAAGGTAAGGATTGGAGGGACTGCAAGTCAATCAGAAATATAAATCTAAAGTCGTTTTAATAGCCTGAATTTCAGACGTCTCCTCTGGGTTGAGTCATGTCAAAAGCGATATGACCCAGAGGAGACGTCTGATATTCAGGCTATGGCTAAACTGATATATTGTTAGTTAAACCAGTTGAATCAGTTAATCCAGCTCTTATGCTACTTGTAATGTGAAGTTATAGCTACAATGTCARACAAAAAGTTTGATATAATAAATGCATCATTCAGTTCAGCCCCTTCCCTCCCCTCCCCTCAAAATAAAATGCTTCCAAAGAGCATCAGTAGCATTGACCTTTGTAAAACCTTGAAAACAAAACACTAATTTTTTCGTTTCAGTCAAGAAGAGATGATAGCAAGACTGCCAAAGACTTTGCCAAGGATCCAAGGCACCTTGTSTGTATCCAAGGACTGGTGTTGCCAGGGACTCAAGGAAATACTAGCAAGTCATCTCCTCAAGTCAAAAGTGAATGTAAGTGTACATTGTACAGGTTTTCTCACAACTGGGTAGATTTAGTTAATGATTATAATAAGTCTTGATTTATGAATCAGGGTTTGTGCTACTATATTGAAATCCTTGAGAAGTCCTGGAATTAAAAACTTGTTGTCTTTTAAAAGCCCTTGAAAATGGGAAAAATCGCTGACACTCCTGTAAAACTCCTTGAATCTGATCAAATTAACATGTTGCTTTTTGCCGCTTGGATTGAAATATGGCAATTTTTGAAAACCTCCACTGGAAACATTCACAAACATCAAAAGTACTTCCAAAATTTTCTGGAATTTTGTAGTGAAAMTGTTGCAGGAACCCTGATGAATATATCTTAAAACTGCAGTACTAAACAGATTTGAGAGTACTTCGTCTCATCACAATAAACTTATTATTTTTTATAACATGAATTTTTCCATTCTTTCTACAAGGGGGAATGTCACATCCATCTTCAGCCCAACCMATGTCAGCTAARGAACCCAACACCTCCCCCCCTAAGGCTGCCAATACAATCAGCAAGGGGTCTCCTGGAAGCATTAACAATGGACGGCAAATGATGCCTGGTAGGTCTTGTTGATTTGATTCATTTTAATMTTAAAAGCTGCYAGCAAAGGCATTCAGTTTAGGATCACTTTTGTCTTACTGTATATCCTAAACGGACGTAGATTCCTGTGTAAATTTTGCTGTGWTTAAAAGAATAGACTCCTTGTCAAGATCTTTAAATTAATGTAGCTGTGCCTTTTTATTGAAGCATCATGATTGTGCATAGGAAACCATGAAGGGGACATATAGCCGACTTTAGATATTTTGGTTCAGTGACCATGCACAAAAGAATTGCAGACGAGGCTCCGGGGAAATAAAAGAATAAATCAAGATAATCCATTGTTTTCCCTGAGCCTCGTGTGCATTCTTTTGCACAGTCATCAAACCAAAATATCTAAAATTGACTTTTATATCTTTTGTAGTATTTCATTGAAATTTGCTAGATTTTTACATAGCTTCTATTAGTAAGTCCCTTAACGCTGATTTACACGGCACGATTGTCTTGTGTGACTTGTAGTATACAACTTGAAAAGCGCAGTTTTAAATGCCCCTACGACTTGTCTACAACAGTCGTACGCAACCTACGACTTGTAGTAGGWTTTTGAACCACTGCTTAAAATCCTAMGACTTGTAGTAGGAAAATCGTATACTACAAGTCGCGCGCGACAAATCGTAMCGTGTAAATCAGCCTTTAGGGATTCTATTGTAATGGTGTGGTACCCATTAAGTTCTAGTATTTGTGAAGTACAGGCTTTCTATATTTTGGTCATTGAAAAACATGTAAAAGTCATGGAACTTGAAATTGCAGACCCTATTAGTGGGCATTTTGAAAGAAAGTCTATTTGCAATAGTGTTCCATTATTATTTAGATCAATCACCAGAGGTTCCAAAGCGCGCAAAGAAAACAAATACCAATAAATCACCTCCAGTCAGTTCAGGACCAGATCTTATTACGTCCAACTCAAACAATCTGTCAGGGAGTCAAGTTATGGCAGGCATGATTCAGGCTTCTGGGGGTCTTCGATTCCAATCCCCAAATGCTATCATAGCCCCTCCAAATCAGGTACAGTATTTGCTGTTTTTATACTGGCTTGAAATCCATTTATCTTTCATTTCAATTTGGCCATTGTCTGTTAAGTTTTAGTAACCTTAACTATGGAGACACTAGAGTACAAACGTTAAATGTGTGCAACACTTTCCACTATTTACTGCAAAATAGTGTCAATTAAGTAATGGTCCGAGTAAGAAGCAGGCAAGCAAACGGCARTGRAATGCATGAAGGTGCTAATTTTGTATTGTATAATCCATTCATCTCATTGGTTAAAACATTAAAATTTGACATAATTTCAAAAGTAAGCGCATATTTTAATATTTTATTTAATATCTGWTTCCAACTTCATAAAAGCTTTCCTTAGCTTTAATATTAATAGCAATTCTATATGGGGAACATAGCAAATTAGAAGCATTCTTTGGCTATTGTTTTGAGTGCTTATGATTGGACAAGATMTTTTAATACAAAWGAAACTTTGTTTCAAAACAGAGTTTATTCACGTTTTACTTTAAAAATGTGTTACCCATAGGTTGATATATAATCAGTGTGAAGACCAAGACATTCCTGTGTGGGGAAGAGTCAATTGCCGCAGAACAATAGAAAGTTGCCTGCTTTTTGCGCGCATTGTTACTTAAACAATAGAAAACAAAATTAGCATAATTTAGCAGTATTCAGTGGTATTTATGTTGCACAGTTTTAGTGTTTTTACTCTATTCAACACAATGTCCAATTACACGTATTTAAATTTGTCATGATTTCAGGTCCCTGTTATTCCTCCTGTCATGCCCCCAGATCTGATGATTGGACAACAGCAACCACCCCAGGCCCCTCCAGAGGCCATTCCTCCTGGTGGTAATCAGAACCAGGCCTGGAATGGTATGCTCGAGTGGACTGAAACTGTAAGCTTTTCATATAGTATTTTAGTATTATCGGTCAGACATAATAAACAGTTAACAATTTGGGTACAATTTTGAGTTGTATGTCCTCTTATTTACAAAGTATTAATTGACGTCATAAAATGTT